TCTCACTGAAATCAGAGATAAATAACTACTTTAATAATAACTAATCCATTTAATTTAGATATTAGCACATGTAAATATAAACGTTATGCTGAATGATTATTAATAAAAGTAGGTTAGTAATGACAATGAATAAGATGTTTGTGCCAGAATTCAAAACTAAAAGAATTTTGTCACCTTTAATTCAGACAGCATGAATGTTCAAATATATGCCTCTATTTGTTAGCAAAGACTGGAGGAAAGTAAAGTTTGTCTTTATTTAGAAAATATGGCTGTTGTGATGATTCATTTTCCTTTTGGAGCAGTATAGATTGCGCCTTGGCGGCTACCATCACTCCTCCTGTCCGCTGAACTGCTGCTAGTTTTCCTCCCATGCCTGGAAGATGTCTATTGCTGCTACCACAGAGGATCTCACTCTCCAGATGAAAGATTCAGATGAGCTAGAATGAATAGAAGGGGGAGAGCGTAGCCGCCTGTCACAGCTACAGTCCAGATGACGTCATACACACGCAGCTTTGTTTTTAATTCAATTTCAATTCAATTCAGTTTATTTATATAGCGCCAAATTCACAACACATGTCATCTCAAGGCACTTTACAGTTAACCAGATCATACAGTCAAATTGATACAAAGTTTTCTATCTAAGGAAAACCAGTTGATTGCATTGACTCATTGACTCAAATACAATCCCCCACACTAAGCATGCTTGTAGCGACAGTGGAGAGGAAAAACTCCCTTTTAACAGGAAGAAACCTCCAGCAGAACCAGGCTCAGTGTGAGCGGCCATCTGCTGAGGCCCACTGGGGTTCAAGGAGACAGAAGCAGAGATACAAAAAGCAGCTGTAAAAGGCGGCCCCGTCCAGGAAACACACAGCCAGGCAGACGAGCTCCAAGGCAGCTCCCATGCCAGAGGATGAAGAGAGCACATCCACTCAGTCACGGTCAGAGAAACAGGACCACACTGGAAAACAGGCCGATCTCCAACATCTATAAACAAGGGTGTTGATAGAAGCAGCACAGCTGATGTTTTTTTCCAGGATGACGTCACAGCCAAACAGAAACAGACGAGGCAAAGCTACTCTGAGGAAAAGCAGAGAGAGCAGAAGGTTAGAGATTGAACTAACAGATTCTGCAGAATATTTAAAAGATATAAATATAAAAAATCTAACTGTGGATGTCTGGGGGGCAGTGATTGGCCTCCATGTTCTGAATGCTGGCGTAGCCTACCATAAAGAATAGGCCTAAATGATGAACAGTTTATTTTGTGCCTTCAAGTCGTTGCCCAGAGGAAGACGTTACTGGATATAACCTAACGGAACAAGGGCGCAGATAGCGTGTACGTCAGGGGTGTTCTGACGTACACAGATTCGAATGACCCTCAATCCGTCCCCCCCACTTTTATTAAAAAAAAAAAAAAAAAACATACGGCCAAACTCACAGAAAATCAAAAAGCTTTTTCTAATTTACTGCTTTGCAACAACAACATAAAACAGTCAGATCATAGACGGGCAATCGTTTTGTTTAACTGCAGGCTGCCTGCGTCGTAGAGATTCTAATCTAACAGTTATCCTGTCTCTGGCATTTACGTCTCGAGCCTGGTTTCCATGGTTACTCAGACAGACAGTAGTGGCGGGACAGTTCCCAATTCCGGAGTCCGGACATCAACATGAGGCCAGCCAAACCGAAAAAACAGAAAACAATTGCATCCTTTTTTCGAAAAGCACCAACTGTAAGTAAACTGTTCATCATATCACCTTGCATTTTTTTGGTTGTCTGTTCGATGTCGCCGTGGAAAAAAGAGTGGAGACGGTCAGTGAGAATAGCGTGAAGAGAGGTGCCAATGTCATAAGGCGGGAGGCTGGGGGAATCGACTGGCATTTATTTATTTATAATTAAATCGACTGTTCCCACTTTTTCTGGAGTTGTTGGGGGTCTTTCAGAAATATGTAGGCTACAGTAGGCTACTTGAATCCGTATTTATGCCAAGCCAAATGGTTTAGGTTGTTACAGGTTGAATCATGAGAAAAACGAACTTCAAAGCTAGACAAATTCCACTACACAGGGGCGGATTTAGGAAATTTGGGGCCCTAGGCAAAGACAGGCATGGGGCCTTCTGAATTGAGAAGACAACATATAGAACAGACCCATTATACAGATACAGAAATTTTAATAGAATAGAAATTTGAGGATGTCATGTATCTTCAAGTTTGTCTATGTCACTGTAACTCGGAGGAAAGAATCTCTCTCTCATATATATATATATATATATATATATATATATATATATATATATATATATATATATATATATATATATATATATAATGTGTGTGTGTGTATATATAAATAAATAAAAGGTGCATGTCACAGGAAAGACTAGTGATGTTACAAATATGACAATTGCTTAAACTACAGAACAGTAAATTATTAAATCTATAATTAACATGGCCCTTAACATCCCCAGCTGTACACAATAACACACATTAAAGCAATGTTAATACAAAGCTGTAAAGTAGAGTGAGACGTTGATAATAACTTCCTTATGTTTTTTGAATGTATAAATTTAATTATAAAGGACTAAAACACCTAAAACTTATGGGTGATTTTACAACATTTAAAAGCCTGAGATTTTACTGAAATTGGGGCTACTGGGGCTCACTGGCCTTAGATGTAATGAGCGAACTGGAAGTGCTGAATACATCGCTCCAAAAAAGCACCCAGACATTGGAGGGCATGGTCTCTGCAGTCTCAGTTGTCCAAGAGAGATTACGGGACAAAAGAAAGCCAGCCCACTTTGAGGCAGTCTTTAAGGAAGCAGTGGATATGGCTGAGAAGCTGTCTCTAGAGCCCATTGCTCTATCTCGAACACATAGGCCCCCAAAGAGATATTCTGGGCCAGCACCTGCACACAATCCAGAATCTGCTGTGGAGTACCACAGAGTGGAGTTCTACAGAGTTCTTGACAAAGTAGACACACAACTTTCTTCATTTGAGGCCATTTATTGAAAAGCCATGTAAAGTACTTATTTACAAATTTGTTTTTGTATATATGTAGGCTTTGCTGTTCGTGTTTCTGTGTGTTTACAGCCTGCACTTAAAGTCAGTCCATGTTTGAATAAAACCTTTTTTTTTCACACGTCATGTGGCATGTTTGGTGAGTACTTGGTACCAATACATGTTATTTTCTTGCAATGATGGGCAATTAAGATTGATGGGTTGTCATAGCTGAGTAATAGCCAGTAATAGGGCTCGGGATCCACGTTGCATTGTGGGACGTCGCACCCATACTGACTGCTACGCAAACGTAAGCATAGCTCTGACACAACGTTGTTGTTGAAAGAAGAGACAGAAGTAGAGAGAAAAAAGATGTTAAAATCCCTAAAAGGATCTGGAATTTACCGGGACACATTAAATAGAGAAGCCAGGGACCGGTATGGTGACAAAATCAGCATTATTAATCATTTGGAATCATATAAAGTTGCAAACAATGAGTGGAGCACCGATGAGTGAGCGCCTATACTTCAAAACAGTTCCCAAGCTACAAGTCCTTGGAGTCTCATGTGCAGTTCATGAATGGATGGGTTCAGGAGCTGCAGATCATAAAGCCAGCAAACAGTGGGATCACAGTAATCCGTACGAAGGTAAGCTGTGATCAGACGGGCTCTGGAACCTGCTAGTTTAGCAACTGCTAACCGCTAATGCTAACAACCACTCACGCATGTAATGTACTTTTAACTAGCTGCTATGTGTTTCAAAGGTGTAGTTAGTAACGTTAACTGCCAACCCTCCGGGTTTCTCGCATATTTGAGCATTTTCCCGCTGCCGTTTTTATTATTTTACCGTAAAAGATCCCAACTTTGAAGGAAAGAAACACTGTAGGCTATAAAATAAAACCGTGCATCTTTAACTTAGCAGAATGAAAATGCAGGGAACACACTCTCAATGACATTGGAATACTGTGGAAAGTTATGTTCGGTCGTCTTACAGCCGCGATCCAAGCTAGCCGACGACTCTTTATCTCTGACGCTTGGGCTCCATGGTTACGCCTCCAGTCAGGAAAGCGGTGGAAAGTTAACCCATTTTCTATGTTTCCATGGCGATCATGTGTTGCGCTGTTACAGCCCGCAATACAGCAACGGTTTACCATGGTTGAAATCAAGTTAAGGTGAAATTAATAAAATTAAAACACGGCTGAGAGGGAGTACAGTACGCGGTAGTCATAGGCAGTAGTCTGAGCCGCGGTAAAAGACGCATTCAACATGGCGGCGACGCGAAGTGCTTACGTCACGATGACCAAACCCTATAGTAACTGTCCCCCACAGTTTCAAAAACCTATCTGCGCCCCTGTAACGGAATATCTTCAGAACGGCTCCAAATGACACTAAACTCAGATGGGAGAGTAGAACATGATGGAATAACGGAAAATCAAGGACCCAATGGAAAAAAAACGAAATTCCCCTTTAAAAACATGACAGCATGGATAGTTTGTTTCCCTCTAAATTGCCTTGAAGCCTTTTTTTAAATAAACATTTAAATTTAAAAAATAAAAACGAAACTAGTTCTTAGAAAAAGTAGATTATAGGTTTATGATGTTAAAACCCTAAAATAACCTTTTATAATTACAGAGATATTTTTTTATATTTTAAATAGGCCTATTTTAATTTATTTGTTCAGTTTTTTATTTTGCTTTTGTGTTAGAATCATAACTTACTCTTGAAAATATCTGTCACTTTTTCAAAGACAAATTGAAAGAAATAAACAAAATAGTTTTAGTTTATTCGATGTAAAAGAAAACAAAAACGCCAAAAAATAAAACAGTGCAATAGATAGGCTAATAAATAAATGAATGAATAGATCGATCGAAATGTGAAGATGATTTTCTTCTGTAAAGCTCGCGTCTATATTTAGGCTTCAGTTTCTCGCCCCGTGGAGGCGGATCCATCCGCGGCAGAGTGTGGCTGTGGGACCAGGAGGAGGGCTTCAGTTGGTCTCCTCCTGAGGAACAGAGCGGCCTTCATTTGGGCATCAGGCCGCCGCTGCTCGGCCTCTTCTCTGCGCACATCTGGATCCCCCACATCTGCAGGGCAGAGGTCTCCCCAGAGCTTCCTGCTGCGCTCCACTGGTTCCCCAGCTGATTTCAGGTCAACAGGACCCGAACCTGATCCTTTATGGAAACTACTACACCTGCGTCGCGCGCAATAGGGCGCGAGGCGGCGATCAGCGCGCGCGGCGCCGCGGAGGGAAAGATGCTGATCGGGGATCAGCCGCGCTCCTCTGTGCGCAGCTCTGCTGGTGAGTTGAGCTCGGTCTGAGCTTTGGAGGTTTCATTCTGCAGGGAATCAGTTTAACTTCAGCCTCTGCTTTGATCTGAGTTAGAAACTTTTGAAAGAGTCTGAAACATTTAAAAGGATATCCAGGATGATAGTGTCCACAGTGAAATACATGATATAATCATCATTTATCATAGTGGATCAATAAGGTAGGCTATTATAAAAATAACCGGATTATTAAATAAAAAAATAATTTCCCTGCAGAGAAATATTTTTTTATTTTTGGTTTAAAATCACAAATAAAAGTCTGAAGGTTTTAAATCCTTTAATTCAGACCAGCATGATGATAGAAAATGGAAACCTGAGGAGCAGGATAAAAGGAGACAATGTTGCAGTGTTAAAGTAACATTCAAGAGTACATTTGGTCCAACTCTGAATTAGTGTTGGACCAAATGTACTCTCAAAGTGTTACTTTAACACTGCAACATTTACTAAGGAGCCAATGGAATGACAGCATTTAATCTATTTTTTCCATTTCTATATCTGAAGAAAAGCAGTTTTATTTCCAAATACCTCCCGAAACAAAGCAGATATTTCCAGAGCTTCAGTGAAGCCTCATGGATTCCTGTTTGGCCCCAGAGAGAAGCTCCTTCCTCAGGCTCCTCTCTCTGGGGCCTCCGGGCTGATGCTGTCTCCCTCCCCAGGCTGGGACTCTCCTCCTCGGGCCACGTGTGAGGGCTGCACGCGCATCATCTCGGACCGCTTCCTGAAGAGGGTCAACGGCGCGTCTTGGCACGAGGAGTGCCTGCAGTGCGCCGCGTGCCAGCAGCCGCTCACCGCCACCTGCTACTTCCGGGACAGCAAGCTGTACTGCAGGAGCGACTACCGGAGGTAGGAGGGTAGGGCCCGGGGCCCGGGGACCGGTCTGCGGTGCGGGGAGCTGCGGGAAGCTGCGGGGCTCCCGCTGATACTCAGATGATCACAGTAGAAAGGATCCGATATTTCAGACTCAGAAATAGAAATAAGGCAGGGATGGATTTGTTATTTATTTACCGGGAAGGACTGAAAATGACTGATTTAAGCCTGAAGGCCTGAAATGCTGCAGTTCCAGTTATTCCATTTATTTTGAAGGTTTTATAGTAAATCATTCAGACTCTGATCTTCTTCCAGTACTTCAAATATTCCCATTTACTCGTTTTCCTGATATTTTTACACGCAGCAAAATGATCTGTTTCACGTTTCTGAATTTTAGAAATTTTAGAGAGTCATTTTCATGCAAATCTTCAGCTGGTAATTCATCTTTCTGCTTTTTCATACTGACTCTCTCTGATTAATTATTGCACAGATGTAAACCTTTAGAGCAGAACTGGGTTTTTTTCTGTATTTTTTCTTTGTCCAGCATTTAGACAAAGTGACCAGTAATAAAATGATGTTATTATGATAAACAGAAACCAGAGTAGAAAACCAGAAAAAAACATGTTTGCATTTTTTCCTAAACAAACAAAAAGGAAAAATTTATTTGAGAGCAAATAAAAAAAATAAAAGAAAAATCCATAAAACTGATTAATTAAAACATTTCATCCCATCAGTGCAGATATTTTCTGGGCATTTCTAAAATAAATGAAGCATAAAAAAGCAACAAATAAGCAAAGAATAATTCCCTGAATCCTACCTGTGGTCCCCTGGGCCCCAAACAGCAGGGGGGCTGTGGCTCCGCCTACTTTGCCGAGACAGCAGCGGTCAGATTTCAGGTCATGAAGTCTCCTTCTATGGCTGGAGATGCTGAGCAGAGCCGGCCACAAGCCCCGCCCACAAGACATTCATTTCATTTTTCCATCATAATAATATAGTGATGATGATGATGATGATGATGATGATGAAAATTTCATCTCAGGTCACTTTCCAGTTCACCAGATCATCCAGTCAGATTGATTCAAAGTTTTCTATCTAAGGAAAACCAGCTGATTGCATCGACTCATTGACTCTTCAGCAATCCCTCACACTAAGCATGCTTGTAGCGACAGTGGAGAGGAAAAACTCCCTTTGAACAGGAAGAAACCTCCAGCAGAACCAGGCTCAGTGTGAGCGGCCATCTGCTGAGGCCCACTGGGGTTCAAGGAGACAGAAGCAGATAAATAAACTGAATTGAAATTGAATTGAAACATGGACCCGACCAGATGAAGCTACTATGAGAAAAAGCAGAGAGAGCAGAACGTTAGAGATTGAACTAACAGATTCTGCAGAGTGGGAGAATAGAGATAGAATGAAGCAGAATGATGAAAAAGGGGTCCCTATGTCCTCCAGCAGTCTAAGCCTATAGCAGCAGAACTATAGGGATAGATCAGGATAACCTGAGCCACTCTAACTAGAAGCTTTATCAAAAAGGAAAGTTTTAAGCCTAGCCTTAAAAGTAGACAGGGTATCTGCCTCACGGACTAAAACTGGTAGTTGGTTCCACAGGAGAGGAGCCTGAGAACTAAAAGATCTGCCTCCCATTCTACTTTTAGAAATTCTAGGAACCACTAGTAAACCTGCAGATTGAGAGCGAAGTGCTCTGTTAGGAACATAAGGAACAATCAGATCTCTGATATCAGATGGAGCTTGGCCATTTAAGGCTTTATATGTGAGAAGGAGGATTTTAAATTCTATTCTGGATTTAACAGGAAGCCAATGAAGAGAAGCCAGGATAGGAGAGATATGATCTCTCTTTTTCATTTTCATCAGAACTCTGGCTGCAGCATTTTGGATCAGCTGAAGGCTTTTAACTACAGTTTGTGGACTTCCTGATAGTAAAGAATTACAATAGTCCAGCCTTGAAGTAACAAATGCATGGACTAGTTTCTCAGCATCACCCCTGGACAGGAGATTGCTCATTTTTGCAATATTCCTCAGATGAAAGAAGGAAATTCTAGAAACCTCTTTCATCTGGGATTTAAATGACAGGTCCTGATCAAAAATAACACCAAGATTATTTACCTTATAATCTGAAATCAGTTTAATCCCATCCAAATGAAGTGACTGGCTAATCAGCTTCTTTTTCAGAGACTCTGGTCCAAAGACTATAACTTCTGTTTTGTCTGCATTCAGAAGCAGAAAGTTAAGAGTCATCCTGGTTTTTATGTCTTCAAACATGCCTGTAATCTATGTAATGGGTTAGCTTCATCTGGATTATAGACAGATATAGCTGGGTATCATCAGCATAACAGTGAAAATTAATCCCATGCTGTCTAATAACTCTACCGATTGGGAGCATGTATAAAGTAAAGAGAATTGGTCCTAGCACTGATCCCTGTGGTACTCCACAGTACCACAGATTCCCATAAAGGGAATTTGATATCAGTTTAGGGCAAATTTGTCTGGATGATAAGGAATGGAGAGAGAACCGTCCCCTGTGGTGCTCCTGAGCTGCTGGATCAGACAGCTGAGCCTTCAGTCTACCAACCTGTGGTCTGTGTGTCAGGTAGTCTTTGATCCAGGTGGTTGTTGATGCCTCCACCTGAGTCTGCTGGAGTTTCTCTCAAAGTCAGTCAGACTGAATCTGGAGAAATCAAAGACCATGATCCTCACAGTGCTGCCTGCCTTGGCTAAATGACAGCAGGTCGGTTGAAGCAGGACCTTCTCTAGGACCTTCATTATCTGGTTGTCAGGGCAGGAGGTCTATAGTCACTGAGGACCGCTGGCTGAGTCTTCTTTGGTCCTGGATCAAGGCAGGAGGTCTATAGTCACTGAGGACTGCTGGCTGAGTCTTCTTTGGTCCTGGATCAAGGCAGGAGGTCTATAGTCACTGAGGACTGCTGGCTGAGTCTTCTTTGGTCCTGGAACAAGGCAGGAGGTCTATAGTCACTGAGGACTGCTGGCTGAGTCTTCTTTGGTCCTGGAACAAGGCAGGAGGTCTATAGTCACTGAGGACTGCTGGCTAAGTCTTCTTTGGTCCTGGAACAAGGCAGGAGGTCTATAGTCACTGAGGACTGCTGGCTGAGTCTTCTTTGGTCCTGGAACAAGGCAGGAGGTCTATAGTCACTGAGGACTGCTGGCTGAGTCTTCTTTGGTCCTGGAACAAGGCAGGAGGTCTATAGTCACTGAGGACTGCTGGCTAAGTCTTCTTTGGTCCTGGAACAAGGCAGGAGGTCTATAGTCACTGAGGACTGCTGGCTAAGTCTTCTTTGGTCCTGGAACAAGGCAGGAGGTCTATAGTCACTGAGGACTGCTGGCTGAGTCTTCTTTGGTCCTGGAACAAGGCAGGAGGTCTATAGTCACTGTGGACTGCTGGCTGAGTCTTCTTTGGTCCTGGATCAAGGCAGGAGGTCTATAGTCACTGTGGACTGCTGGCTGAGTCTTCTTTGGTCCTGGAACAAGGCAGGAGGTCTATAGTCACTGAGGGCCAATGGCTGAGTCTTGTTTGGTCCTGGAACAAGGCAGGAGGTCTATAGTCACTGAGGACTGCTGGCTGAGTCTTCTTTGGTCCTGGATCAAGGCAGGAGGTCTATAGTCACTGTGGACTGCTGGCTGAGTCTTCTTTGGTCCTGGAACCAGGCAGGAGGTCTATAGTCACTGAGGACCGCTGGCTGAGTCTTCTTTGGTCCTGGAACAAGGCAGGAGGTCTATAGTCACTGAGGACCGCTGGCTGAGTCTTCTTTGGTCCTGGAACAAGGCAGGAGGTCTATAGTCACTGAGGACCGCTGGCTGAGTCTTCTTTGGTCCTGGAACAAGGCAGGAGGTCTATAGTCACTGAGGACTGCTGGCTGAGTCTTCTTTGGTCCTGGATCAAGGCAGGAGGTCTATAGTCACTGAGGACTGCTGGCTGAGTCTTCTTTGGTCCTGGAACAAGGCAGGAGGTCTATAGTCACTGAGGACTGATGGCTGAGTCTTCTTTGGTCCTGGAACAAGGCAGGAGGTCTATAGTCACTGAGGACTGATGGCTGAGTCTTCTTTGGTCCTGGAACAAGGCAGGAGGTCTATAGTCACTGAGGACTGCTGGCTGAGTCTTCTTTGGTCCTGGAACAAGGCAGGAGGTCTATAGTCACTGAGGACCGCTGGCTGAGTCTTCTTTGGTCCTGGATCAAGGCAGGAGGTCTATAGTCACTGAGGACTGCTGGCTGAGTCTTCTTTGGTCCTGGAACAAGGCAGGAGGTCTATAGTCACTGAGGACTGCTGGCTGAGTCTTCTTTGGTCCTGGAACAAGGCAGGAGGTCTATAGTCACTGAGGACTGCTGGCTGAGTCTTCTTTGGTCCTGGATCAAGGCAGGAGGTCTATAGTCACTGAGGGCTGTTGGCTGAGTCTTCTTTGGTCCTGGATCAAGGCAGGAGGTCTATGGTCACTGAGGACTGATGGCTGAGTCTTCTTTGGTCCTGGAACAAGGCAGGAGGTCTATAGTCACTGAGGACTGCTGGCTGAGTCTTCTTTGGTCCTGGATCAAGGCAGGAGGTCTATAGTCACTGAGGACTGATGACTGAGTCTTCTTTGGCCCTGGATCAAGGCAGGAGGTCTATAGTCACTGAGGACTGATGGCTGAGTCTTCTTTGGTCCTGGAACAAGGCAGGAGGTCTATAGTCACTGAGGACTGATGGCTGAGTCTTCTTTGGTCCTGGAACAAGGCAGGAGGTCTATAGTCACTGAGGACCGCTGGCTGAGTCTTCTTTGGTCCTGGAACAAGGCAGGAGGTCTATAGTCACTGAGGACTGATGGCTGGTCCAGGTCTTCCACATTCAGGCAGGAGGTCTTCCACATTCCTGGGTCAGACTAAGGGGGGAGAGGTGCTGTCACTGAGGACTGCTGGCTGAGTCTTCTTTGGTCCTGGATCAAGGCAGGAGGTCTATAGTCACTGTGGACTGCTGGCTGAGTCTTCTTTGGTCCTGGAACCAGGCAGGAGGTCTATAGTCACTGAGGACTG